TTTTTCATATTTTTTTTGTCATTTGTATTTCTTCCACTGAGAAGTGTATATTCACCTCAGATGTCCATTTCTGGATTGAGTTTTTAAATTTGGGGAGGGTTTGATGCTTTTCACTTTTTTTATATGTTCTAGGTGTTCATCCTTTGTCTGAGGGAAAAGTGGCTAAAATTTTTTCCCACTCTGTGGGTCATCTTTTCACTGTGTTGGTGATTTCTTTTGCTGTGCAAAAGCTTTTTAATAGGGTGGGATCCCATTTGGAATTTTTTTTTTAGTATTTCTATTTTTTCAGTATTTTCTCATCAGGGTTTTGCTCATGAAATCTTTGCCTAGCTATGTTTTCAAGTGTCCTGTACATTCTCCTCCAGTAGATTTAGTGTTTCTGTTTTAATATTTAGCTCTTTGATCCACTTCAATTTTAGTTTAGTATATGGTCAGAGACATGATATGCATGTCTTTGACAGAAAATGGAGTCTACAGCACTATTTGTTAAAGAGGCTCTCTTTCTTCTAGTGAATGTGCTTGGCTCCTTTGATAAGGTTGCTGAGTATGTTTGGAGTTATTTCTGCATCTTCTAATCTGTTTCACTGATGCTCAGGTCTGCTATTTTTTGCCAGTACCATACTGTTTTTATCACAGTAGCTTCATAGTTTAATTTCAAGTTGGGGATTGGGCTGAGGATATAGTTCTGTGGCATAAGTGCCTGCCTGGCAAGTGCAAGGTCCTGAGTTCAATTCCTGGTACCCCACAAAAAAAAAAAAAAGAGAAGCAAAAATCAAGTTGGGGATTGTGATGCTCCCTACTTTTCATTTGTTATCTCGGATTTTCTTTCTTTCTTTCTTTCTTTCTTTTTTTTTCCTGCTATTCTAGGCCTCTTCTGCTTCCAAATGAATTTTAGGAATGTTTTGTCTAGTTCTGTAAGGTAGCTAGTGGTATTTTGATTGGATTACATTAAATTTGTATAATAATTTTGGGAGTATGGCCATTTTCACTATGTGGGTTCTTCCTACCTATAAGCAAGGGATATCTTTCCATTTTCTGACATTCTTTTCAATATCTTGTTTTCAGGGTACCATAATTGTCAATGTATAGATCTTTTCCTTCTTTTGGTAGATTGATTCTTAAGCATTTCACTTTTTTGATGCTATTATGAAAGATGTTGTTTTTCTAATTTCAGTTTTTGGTCATTTAGTATGATGTTGACACTTTGTCATAGATGGCATTTTTCAGATTGAGATAAAGGTCATCTATTCTAATTTTCTGTAGTTTTTTTTTTTCTGTCATGAATGAGTGTTAGACTTTGTCAAATGCTTTTTATGCATCTATTGAGATGATCATGTAATTTTTGTCTTTGGCTCTGTTGATATGGTGTATTGCATTTATTGATTTGCATATTTTGAACCATCCATGAACCCATAAGAGAAATTGGTTATGGAAAATAATCTTCTTCATTATTTGCTGCATTCCATTTGCAAATATCTTATTGAGGATTTTTACATCTATGTTTATTAAGGTGATTGGTCTTGATTTCCACAGAATACATTGTGATTTATCTTTTTCATTCCTAATTGCATGAATTTGAGTCTTTTCTTTCCTCTTTTTGACAAGTTTGGCTAATGGTTTATCAATTATGTTTTATCTTTCAGCTGGACATGGTGGTGCATGCCTGTAATCCCAGCACTCATTTAGTATTGAGCCAGTATTTCTAGGCTGAGGCAGGAGGATCCTTGAGCATTCCAGACTAGCCTGGGCTAGCAAGTGAGCTCAAGGCCAGCCTGAACTGCATAGCAAGACCCTGTCTCAAAAAAGAAAAAAAAAAAAAAAAAAAGAAAGGTTAAAAAAATCTTTCAAAGAACTAACTCTTAAATTTATTGATTTCTTTTATTGTTTTCTTCACTTTGATTGCACAGTTTCTGCTCTTATGTTCATAATATTCTTCCACATATGAGTGATAGGTTTGATTTGTTCTACATTTTTTGAGAAGTTTGAGATTCACCATTAAGTCATTTATTTGGGCTCATTCTGTTTTCCTGATGTAAGAGTTCACTATCATAAATTTTCCTTTTAGGGCTGCTTCCACTGCATCCTGTAAGTTCTGATATGTTATATCAGCATTATCATTTAATTGCAGATACTGTTTAATTTCTTCTCAATTTCATGTGTGACTCATTGATTGTTCAGGAGGGTGTTACTTAAATTCCAGGTGTTCATATAGGTTTTTTTTTAATTGTTGTTTCTTTTGCCACTGATTTTCATTTTTATTGCATCATGGTCACATAATACACATGGGATAATTTTTATTTATGGGCTAGCATGTGTTCTATTTTGCAGTCTGTCCCATGTGAAGCTGAGAGGAATAGCTATTCTGCTGTTGTGTGGTGAAACACTCTGTAGACATTTATCTACTAAGTGCTTTTATTAACTTTTAATAGAATTTTATTGGATTCCATTAGAATAGTCTCACAAGCTGGGATTCATATATCAGCTCAATATATTATCAATACTAAATGAAAAAATTACAATGAAGGGTTATATAAGGGTTAAGCACAGGATAAATAATATACATTTATCAATTGTGGATATAAGCCTAAAATAAGAGACATCCTTACCTTACAAACAAACAGCCCTCTACACCTAAGTTCTTGGAAGCCCTAGAATCTCTGCAAAGAGGAAGGACAGAACTTTATCTATTGATAAATACAAATTAACTCCAAAGTGTAAATTAAAGGGTTAGGCAGAAATTGTAATTTATCATAAATTAATTAAGAATAAATATGGTAAGCAGATGTGATATTATAAATAGGAAAACAGAAGCAAAAGTAGATGATTTTACTTAAACAAATGAACAGATGCATGGAAGAAAACAAAACCGGTGAAACAAACAAACATTTGAAATATGAATTTTTAAGCTAAAAGATGAAATAAAACAGAACTGTGGTTCTAAATTGAGATATCTAGTGAGGTGAAGCATTGTCCACTCATTTCTTTGGTAAATATAATTTTGAGGCATCTGTGGTTAGCATAAAGGTTATTAGTTTTCCAGTTCTGAGTTTCTCCAATATTTAAAACTCATTCATGCCTTTGTGTGGGTGGAACATTTCCACCCAACAGATATTTGGAAATTTAGAATTCAAGATGTCCAGTGAATGAAACAAACCCTGGAGTGCAGCCACTGTGGTCTTGTTTGTGGTTCCCACATTCCCAGGATCTTTGGCTTGCCAGAATAAATTTGGCAGAAGCAAGAGTGGTTCTTGCCAGTACTAGATTTGAACCTTGTTTGGCCCTATTTTCTGAGTATCTGGTTGATTCAGAATTTCCTTATCACTTGTGTATTCTACAAGGACAATTAAAAAGTAAATTTAATTGTAAAACAGAGATTGGAAAGGAAACATAGAGAGAAGCTCTTTCACAGGTTTTCCAGAATAGAGCTGTAGAATTGTAGTAGTATAGGCTCATCCTTAGCCTCCTTTACCAATTTAATGATCTGTATTAACAAATTCCCCACATAATTGTGATCTACACTAAAGTATGGAACCATTTGGACAGACATATTCTATTTAAATACGTATTCTTACGTAAGAGCACCTCTGTAATATTGACTTTTCATATCTATACTATAGCCTTGCAGCATTCTAGCAATAGGATGTTTTTGTAGACAAATGCTATACCACATCATCTACAAAACTATGTAACAAGGCGATATAGCAGAGGATGTACCGGATTTGCAATGAAAGGATCCAATTTTGATTCTTGGCTGTGTCCTCAGCTATCTGTGCTACATTCGAAAGTGCATGTAATGTTTCTTATTCTCAGTTTTCCTGGATATACAAATGGGATGGTAATTGCTTCTAACTCCCAGAATAGTTGCATGAATATTGGAAAGTTATTAATGTATTCAACTAACATTTTCAGTACCTATCCTGTGTTTGATTTGTTATTAAAAGCTTGAGATGCAGCAGTGAAAGAGAAACAGTTCTTTTACTTATAAAATAATTAGAAATTCCGACATTTTATAAATATCCCTACTGGGAAGACTTGCCTCATTTTAGCATATATAGTAGTGAGAAAGAATCATAGATAACTTTTATGAGAGGTAAACTATTAAAAGAAATTTAATAAGAAAAGAAAAAAATATTTTAGAAGAAGATGGTGAGGCTGAGGATATAACTCAGTGGCACAGCACCTGTCTGGTAAGAAGTAGAAGCTGAATGGAATATCTTACATAGAGGGTATAACATATGCAAAAAGTTGGAAGCTTGAAAGAGCATTGAATATTAATGGCATTATGGTAGTTTGAAGGCTAACTGAGGTAAATGCAGGCTCCTTAAATGTCGGCCTATATATTCAGCAAGCAAATTAGTTAGGGCTTGCTGTTTATATATGCATATACCTGTGCAATATAACATGCACAATACAGAGCCAGCAGCAAGCAATTAAAAGAAAAACACTTTTATCTAATTAGATTCACATCTTATGAAGATAATTTGTCTACTTTACATAAGATGGGCAGAGATTCCATTCAGGTGATGGCTGTGGTAATTTGATCAAGAGATATCATTGGCTTAAACTAAGACAATAGCTTCATCGGTTAAGATGGCACTAAGTAGAGGGATTTGAGGTAATAAGGATACAGCCCCAGTGACATTTGGAAAGGGGTAGAAAATAACTGAAAAAATTATTACACTTAATTTCTCCTTGCTAGTCTGTAGTTAACAAATAATAATTGATACCCGGATTATGATTGGTTGAACTCTCGCTGGCCTACTTATTGGCAATCCATCTTCCTTAGGGTGTCCGTGATCTCAGAGGCCTTTTCCAGAGCACTGCCTTTTATGTGCTCACAGTGAAGTGACTTCTCTGCTTAGTATCTCTGTTCTGCGAACCCGAGGCTGCTGCTTTGTGGGTGATCATAAAGGGTCCACCTTTTGGACACACAGCTTGTCTCCTGGGCTGCTTGCTGCTCTCTCCATTCTGGCCACACAGGAAACCCTCTGCTGTATCACTCAGACATCTGTTGGTGTATCACATGCATGGGCAGCTTGCGTTTGAGGGATGCCAAACCAGCAAAGCGCAGCTGAGGCTGGGCCACAGCTTCCAAGGCTCCATGTCAACAGGTCCAGGGAACCAGGCAGCTTTCAGAAGAGGAAAACACAGAAACTGATTCTCAGCAGTGTGGACTTCATGGAATTCTGGAGCTCTTTTTTTCTGCCTCATGGCACATTGTTTTTCATTTGGACAAAAGTATCTGAGACTCCACATTGAAATTCCCCAGAATTTCCATACTTTGCAATCAGACTAAATCTTACTTCAATTTTGGAAAGAAAAGAAAGCTTTTGCACCACTCGAATGTAAGGCCTCGCATCTTGATTTCTTTCTGGAACCTGAATCACAGTGAGCTTTTTCCTTCAGGAGAAATCTCATCTACTTTCGATTTTATGGTCTCATGGTCCTAACAACACAATCCAACATGAAAGCAAGACTTCATTGTATTTATTAGAGTCAGGGTTATTTGGTTTTAAAAAGCATCATCTAAACATCATGAACAGTCCTATCCCACGGGCTAATATGTAATCTAGTTTCATTTTTTCTATCTCATTTCACCAAGGATTTAATAAGTTTGGGGTAAAACTTACTCATGGTGACCTTGTTGCACACATATAAGCCCCTTTTCAGTATCTTATAACATGTCCTAACTAATATTTGAAACACAATCTATTTAGGGTAGCTTGCTTCACTAAGTCCTGAGCATACCTGATTTACACTAGAATTTATTTCATGATAAATTTTTATTCAGGAAAATGAAAATGAAATTATATTTTATACTATTTTTATCAAACCAATTCTTATTCCTTATTCCTTTTTAGCAGCATCATTATTTTTCTGAGTTAAAAGGGAGTTTTAAGTTGTGCATCATTCTTTATCAAAATTAACACAAGAGCCTTTATTGACTCTCCACCTACATATGACATGGTTCTCTAGCACAATGCAAGTCATATGGAAAATACTGCTTGCTTTGAGAAACTGATAGTATAGGTTGAATAGTAGCAATGGAAGTAGAGAGACTCATTTGTTTATAACATCAAAATGAAGAATAATACGTTATATGTTAGGTAAGGAGAGTCAACAGCTGGAAATGAATCTTGGGGAATTTTGAAATTGGCAAGAAAAAAGATATCTTTTTTATTTTACTTTATTTTTTCTTTGCAAATATAAAGGGCTTCATGCACCTCTGTTTTCAAAGTACAAAACACACATACACAAGCTCCTCACAGACACGTGGCCTCGGGTTTTGAACATGGCGCAGCTGTTACACAGGGCCTTCTCGCACACATTGCTACAGTCCACAACGCCACGCAGGGCACAGGCCATGGCGCCGCAGCACCAGCAGGAGCACACGCACTGCCCACACAGGGCGCGCTCAGGCTGGCTGCAGACCTCCTTCCCATCCACAGCTTGCGTGCACGGTGAGCAGGTGCCGGGTGCTACGCAGAACAGCTCAGCTTTGGAGGCCTGGGCACAGCTCCTGATCAGTCGGCCACTGGGTCCAATCAGTATCTGGCCCTTTGCAGCTCAAGGCGTCTCTGTGGGGCCAGGCTTTGGGGACCCTCACAGCCTTCACTCCACATGTGGTCTCTTTTTAGATCCAAAAGTGAATCACTCCCAAAAAGGTCCACAGAGCATTGGAGATTCGGTAGTGTTTTTCTGTACCATTAAATAGTCCTGTACATCCACTCCCTCCAGGACCTCTGTTCCAGAGAACCTAGGGCATTAAATTGCTACCATTAAGGCCACTTGGCTGTATGGTGTCATTAAGCAAAGGCTGTTTCTTGGCGTGGCACTTTGCTGTTTCCTTCCCTTTCCCTTAACTTTGAATCCACTTCAATTTCTTGTCCTGTGGAAAGCGCCTCTCCTTTAGGCGCTCTGCTTTCTACTCTGTTTCCAGTCTCTTGGGTCCCTCTAGTTCCATTTCAGATTGGAGATGGTGGGAGGAGGCATGATGGACATGGCTCTGACCATGGACTGCACTCAAAGTGCAGTGAACACAATATGATCTAGGTGTTTTGTTTTGTTTTGTTTTTGGTACCAGGAATCAAACTTGGGACCTTGTGCCTCCTAGGCAGGCACTTTGTACTGCTGAGCAATATAGCCCTGGCCCTAGGTTTTCTTACAGCTCAAAATGTTCCAACTCTCATGTTGTCTCCTTGATGTGTTAAAATGTCATCTTTTTCCTGTTTTTGTACAGAGTCCCAAGAAGACTGCAGAGATGTGACTGAAAACTGCTGTACTGGGTCCTGCCCTTCAGTCTTACTACTCTCTCTGAATAGTAGACAAAGAACTCACTTGACAACAGTAAATTACAAAGCAGGGAATTTCTGCTCCACCTGGACATCTAGTTTTATGGTTTTAGGTCAGCTGTCTATGGAAAGCTGATTTGTATTGCCTTGCCTTATCAGTTTATAATTTCTTCATTTGCATATACTCGTCGTCTATTTTTCCTTTTCTCTGAGATTGATTTTATTCAAAACCTTCTACTGGCTTCTCTGAATGTACCCTACCAAAGAGGTATCACCATGGGTACATGTGAGATGCGAAATGGTCCATCTTGACACATACTTCAGAGTACCTGGATCCTTTGGCAGGAGTTTCTAGCCTTCTCGCCTCATTTCACTTCAATATTCAACACTCCTGTCACATACAAGTCATGTCATGTCACTGCACATACCATGTTATTGCCAAATTGTGAGATGCCCTTAATATCACTCTGAGTCAGTTTGCAAATTGTAGAAAGATACCTCTCTGTGTGTTACCTTAGTATTTATTTCTGGTTCTTAGGATTTATTGTGCCTCCAGATTTCACATTTTCTACTACCAAGGATTCTCATTGTTTTAATATCAGCTCTAGACCTCTATTCTGTTGAGAGACCCAGTGTTTTCCTCGAAACTCATGGTCCTACATCCACACATCATAGGATATCTTTCTGTTACATGTATAATCTGAAACAGATGTATTTGTTGGCAGATATCCTATACCTTTTTAGGCTAAGAGAGTATTTTTTCCATTTTAGGCAAGATCCTTAATATTGTAAATGACAGAATCCCAATTAAAATTGACTTACATAAAAATTAAATTTATTGAATCCTGTACTGAGAAAGTCTAACTGAAGGTCTTATTTCAGGATTCAAGCAATGTTATAGAACACAGTTCATTCTTTGTCATTTCTTGGCTTGCTTTTGTGTCTTAGGTTCCAAGCAGTTATAAGATGATTACATAAGCTCCATCTCTTACACAATCTCAGGTCTCATAGGCGAGGAAGAAATATCTTCTCCAGAAATTAGAGCAAAATATGCTTCATCTCATGAGCTTAATTTTCCTTCAGTGCCCCTCACCTAACCATCTCTGTGGTCTGGGAGACAGAGCTCACATTTCCAGGTTTAGGTGATGCCAACCTGTGAGATGAAATCAATTTGAACAGATGCAAAGCAGAGTGAGGAGAAAAGTAGGACTTTTTCTCTGAGAATTCCAGACAGCAAAAACAACAGATATTCCCTGGAGTTCCCCTGATTTTGGTAGACAGCAGGCCTCAGGAAGAAATGGGTTGAAAAACTATATGGACCCAAATATAAAAATGCGGCACATGGGAAATATTTAGTTAATGAGTGTTTATAAAAAAGGTACTTTGACATAGTCTGATATTTTGCATATGAAAATTTTGATAAAGATAAATGTTGTAGGAAGGTGTGAAGTATGCAAAACATGATATAACACATATTTTTTCAAAGCTTATTTGTCTTCAGTGAAAAATGTTTCTAGCATAAGAAAGAAAATGTTTAAATATTACAGAAAACTATGATTCAAATAGTTATCTATCTTTAAATGTTTCAAATGTTCTCTGTATCAATGGTAGGTAGCTTTTAAAAAATATATATATATTCATTAAAATACATTTTCACATAGACTCTGAGAACTGATACAAATAGTAGCTGCTATTGTAAGAAGAACTTACTGTCTACATTAAATTTTATTTAAAACAATACTATAACAGTTTCAGAGGAAGCAAAAAATATCAATAGCAAAAGAAATATTTTATCAAATAAAATCTGGATTATCTGAATCATTGTTGACAAGTAAAAATCTCTCAAACTTCAGTAATTTTGACAGACAAAGAACTCAGCATTTTTCTTCCACAAACTTATTCTTAATACTTTGTTTCTAACAGGCAGCCATTGTCTGTATTTCTAAGTAGTCTGAAAACAGGTATGAAGTATGAACACCAGCTCTTTTCCAATTTACCTTTCCTTATTCAACAGAAAAACAATCATGGATCCTTGTTGTGGTCAATCTATATACTTCTAACCAAACCATGTGCCTAATATTTTAATACATATGAGTTAATAAGAAAGAGTTATAATTGCATAAGGAAATCTGATTTTTTTTTATCTGGAAAAAAGTGAAGGATATTTAAAGAAGGCTATATAGGGGAAAGCAGACAGGGAGTTGTTATACACAAAGGAGAAGATAACTAAATATATCCTTTTCTTCTGGGAAATGAGATTATACATAGCAGGGGCTTTGCCTAGTTCAATTTTAACAGGATAAAGTTAACAAAGAACATGTACAGATACAGGTAAAATGTTCAGAATTGTTCTGATCTGGCAATTTCTATTTATTTGTGAAGGTCTGTCAGGGGGTTAAGGGGAGTAACGAAGCTTCGACATCAGTGTTGTGGAGAGTAAAAATGAGGAAAAGATGATTGTGTTGTCAAATTTCTTGGGTATTCATTTGAGTTTGGTGAACAAATATGAGTTTTCTGGATCATGAATTTTTCTCCAATGATGTCTACAGGTCCAGAATGTAAATAATCAAGTGAAGTAAATAAAGGTTAATATTTTGAAGGCAGGATGACCAATGAATAACAAAGTTAATTAAGTAATGATAAGACAGGGAATGGTGTACAGGGGAAAGCAGACAGACCAATGAACTAAGTTCAAGTTTGGTTGTGGTACCAGAAATAATCAGGTTAAAAAAATAGGAATTTTTGGTGAAAAAATAAGGACATATAAATTGATTATGAAAGTATTTGTACTGTATAAACTAGAGGTAAAAATTTCTGGGTGTTTTCTTTCAGCAAGTGTTATCTAAACTATCTGTCCTCCCTTACTAAAACCCACTGCCTGTTGCCTATACTTACTTGTAAGTGGATGCTTGTTTACCTTACTAGCAAAACAGGACTGAAGTAATTGCTTTTAATATTGTAGTTTATCTGTTGATAACTTGAATACAGCACCATCAATTTAGTATCTTTAAAAAGTCCTGTAATACAACAAGCATTGTTAATTTCCTATCACTTTTTTTGTAACTCTGTATTGTCTGTACTGTTCTTTTGCTATTTCGTAAAAGGTTGTCTGTCTGTTAATGTTTTCCTCCTTTTATTTTCAAAATAAAAAAATAAATAACAAAATTAATAAAAAAATAAGAAGTCCTTTGATTCCGAGATACTTTTAAGTATTGTATGAACATTCTTTAATTATTGAATCCAGATTTCCTCAGATAATGTCAAACTATCTGGATAATATCATGCTAATGATTTCCAATATCTATATTTTAGAAACTGACATTACTAAATACCAAAGTATGTGAGATATGAACGTGTAGGGAATATATTTTCTTTTTTTATTTGAAAATGTTTCTCTTCTAAGATAGGTTTTATAGTATGTCTTATATGTACATAACAAAATGTATATTCAGTAACTTAAATTTTAGTCTAATCTACAGGTTATAAAAGATTTAATGTAGGAGGAAACTTAAAATGTTACTGAATTATTTTTTATTCCACTGTAGAAGAAACAGACTGTATCATGAAGGCCTGAGATACGTCTACTGGCTTCTGTTGTAGTAACTATAACTGATGTTCATATATGTGTTTTTGTATATAGGTTGTATCTGTATATACATGTATACTGTATCTGTGCATATGTGTCTTATATCCTTTACCTGTATAAAATTATATGTAATTTTGACTAGCAATCCTAAAAGGTTAGTAAGAAAAGCCTTAATCCTTTCTGAGACTGGTTCAGCCTTTGCAGATGGGATCGGATTGTAGTAGAGGATGCCCACCTCCTAGCCACTATACTTCAGTTCCTTAGTTGTCCAAGCAATAGTTCCTGTTCCAGTTCTGGTTGCTCCTGTCTCCTAGAAACTGCTGGTTACTGTGATGCATGGCTTGTTACTACGATGCATATTGCTAGAACCAATTCCTAACTGACAAGTCATTTTTTCCTCTGTGCTTCTTCCTTGCAGCCCTCTGCCTGCAAATCCTGGATGTCATTTTGGTGTTTCTGCTTGCCCTGGCATCTGGGGCACTGGCTAGGAGACTGACTTTGCTGACCTCTTTGATCACCAGTTGTGGTACTCGTGGATGGAGCAAGGACCTCTCAGGTCCCAACAGGAAGGTGCACACTTGAAATTTCTTGAGTCCTTTCAGAGAGCTGGAGAAGGATTCCTGGCTTGCCACTCAAGCAGCTTACATTAGACTCCAA